GCTCCCCTCTCGCCACCCGACAGCGCCCCCCGCGGCTCGCCGGCAGTGCAAGAGAGCAAAGCTACACTGGGAGGTGTTTAGGGCACCCGAAGTTCTGCAAACAAAGGGGCGCATGAGCACTGCAGTATGTGGCGGGACCCCTGTGGCACAGCATGAAAGCCAGGGACATTTCTCTTCCCTCGATCCCACAGAGAGATTCCAAAGGCGGAGGACTGGCCCCAGGAGGGGGTAGAGGATATAAACAGCGCTCTGGGAACAGAACTGTAGCACCGTTGAGTGCCGGAGACGCACTCAGCACGTCGAGCTGCTAGTAGCACCACAGGGGGCCTGTGGGGCACTGCACACGAAGGTGCAGATGTGAGTTTCACTATGGAAGTGTCATTCCCCGCTGACAGCCCACGATTTACCACAGAACACACCACTTCCCCTGACTTGGGCAGACTGCTAGCCAGGCCTCGTGCACTTAGATTCCAGCCACCCTGCGTAAGCTGCCTGGAGGCGGGAACGCGAGGGAGCTGCGGTAACGTCCCGCTAGCGCCTCTGTGCAGGTAGCAGGGTGCCTGGCTTTGTGCCCAGCTGTGTCCTTACAGTCAGGATTGCACTGGCAGAACTTTTCACAGAAATTCTGAGTCATGATGCAGGGGCAGGAGCTGTCGCAGGGGTGGTCGGGGTGGTCGCAGGGCTGGTAGTTGTACACCTGGGTAGGTGAATTATCTACAAGAAGAAGAGGGGAAATGCCATGGTTACAACCCATGCCCCGCAAACACCCATAGACGCGGAGTTACTGCGCACCAGGCTCTGGAGCATCAGAGCAGGCCATTTCCAGTTCTGCCAGCAGAGGGCAGGCAGCCGGTAAGCATGAACGCCTTACAGATGCTGCACTGGGATCACAAGCACATGATCGGTTTACTTCGCTCCTGATCAGCCCCCCATCATCCCCCGGCACTTGCCTCCGCCTGGAAACGAGAGGGTGCCCCGAACGCTCCCGCCAGGACGAGGCGGATGGAAAAGTCCCACCACAAGCGGATGGGAACTTCACAGGCTTCCCACATCAGCCAGACAAGGCGCAGCCGGGGAGCCAACAATAGCACCGGCTCCTGTGGCTGCTGGCCTGTCGCTCCCAGCTCGAGCTGGCCGGCTGGAGAGACTCTCAGCACTACACAGCGCCCTGATGCTTCTCAAACCCAGCCCCAGATCACGGCCAGCGACGCACGGTACCTTTCTTCAGCTGGATCTTCCTGCAGTGCGCAGCCCACAGCCTGAAAGAGAAACACAGATGTGGGACTGGGGCGCCTACCTGAGGAAGGTCCAACAGCGTCTGTGCCTGGACGCGCAAGGCTCCCAGTCAGCTCAGCAACTGGAGAGGTGAGATTCCATCGGCAGCTGGGCTGCCAGCTTCGGGCACCAATAACCACCAGCTACTGGTCACAGAGGCGTGGACAGAACAGAGCCAGGCGTCTGGGAGAGACGCTCCTTAGGGCAAACCCTAACGTCAGGCGAAACCCCACGGAAGACAAACAGCTCGGCAGGATGGATTAGAACAAGTGCATGAGAAGCTGGTTAGAAGCCAACCACCTTCCAACCGGGCCTTGAGGGGGCTGACTCTCACAGGCAGCTGTTCCCCAGTGGCTACCAAGCTGCTGCTAGCGGC